ATATAAACGAACCCTGAATAGATCATCTACCCCCACTATGAAGTCACTATCCTTCCCCATTACAGCTGAGGAGAAGGAGGCCCAAAGGGACTCTAGGGCCACCCAACTAGAGTGAATTTGAGCCCAGGTGGCTGGGCTCCCATGCTGTGCTCATACTGATTGCTACTACTTCTCGGTAAGCATTTGGGTGAAGGGGGATCCCAGAGACGGAGACACAGGAGGGCTTTGACCACACTGAATTTCCCCTTGTGACTCCCTCCGGTCATAAGTTTATAATGTAAAACCCTTTGTGAAATTGGTGAGGCATATACAAGATGTCCAATGGTAATCTTTCTCTTCCCCCTATTCTCACACTGGTAACAAACTTCTGGGTGTTCAACTAAGAAATCAAAGTCAAGACTTTCATGATGGAGTTGGGGATGGTACCTGCTGGGGGACCATCTGCAGGGGGACAGCTTCCCACGGCAAGCACTCCATGTGTGTGCACGCATCACTAGCTCATGATCACTGTGGGGAAGGTAGTTTCAAGTGGCTACAGATCCTTGATGTTAGCCCATGGTTTGCAGGTGGTGGAGTAGGGGTCATAAGTGATGAAGACAAGAAGAAATACTATTTTTGAAATGTTAGTGCATTTTGAAAGCCTGTTTTATAGCTGATGGTCTCCAAGTCAGGCAGAGGCTGTGGCTGCTTGGGGAAGAACATGACAGCGTCTTTCTCTTTGCAATGACACTAGAATGATGTTCAATTTTGATTCCCACAGTAAGACCTTGAAGACTGCAGAGACAATAATCTCCACAGTCAGGTATATGGAGAGAAAAGAGAGTTTTGAGAATCCTCTAAACTCTCTTCTGTGCAAGCAAAGCAAAGCCATGTCAGCTTAGAACACAGTCTTGTCCTCAGTGATGACAGGAGAGGATGGAAGGGAAGTTTCCCACTGCTGAAGGAAGGAAGAAGCTTTCACTACAGAAGAGGAGAGAAAGGATTCAGAGAGGGAACAATTAAGGCGATTTAGCATCTGATTTCCTCAAAGGCCCACAACCCTAAATGGTGGGAATAATGAGAATGGTGCAGAGATAGACATCTCATCTCTGGGGGTCTGCTGGAGGATAGAGATGAAGCATGGCAAATAAGTAGGGAGAAGGTGATATTCCCATCCTATCTTTTTACGGTCCCCAGGGCCTGCTGTGGAAGGGTCTAGAAGTCCATCAGCTATGGGAGCTGAGAAGTTTGGCTGATAAAGAAGCTCACACTGAAGCAAAGTGGGCTGGGGCAAAGTGACAAACTTCATCTTCTTCTCTACTTTCCCAAGCTGGAGAGCAGGGCTTGGACGCTCTCAGTCTGTGCTCATCAGTGGTCCCAGGTACTGTGCCATACAACATACTTCTGCTGAAGAGAGCTGTCTCCCACAAGGATACCCAAGGGTCACTCCAATGGTATAGGCCGTCTCTCACATCACAAAACACTCACACCAAGATTAAACTGACTTCAAGACAGCCTCAAGGGCAAAAATTCCTGAGTTTCCATTATAATCAAGACTTTGGAATAGATCTTTGGGGGAAGGGCCAGGGGAGTTTAGGTTTATCTAGGGTCCTGGCATATATGTCTCCTCTCAGTTGCAGTATCTCAGCACTTTCTCTAGACTTTTCTTACGGACTTGAGTTGGAAAGTTACATCTCTGTGCATCCTCAGATCTCTTACTGAAGGGTCAGTGCCTTAAATGTTGCTGCTGCTGCTGTTTATAATGATGGAGAAGAAAGGCAACCTCCTTGCCTTGAGAATTTAATTTATGCTTGGAACTTTCTAAGCACTGATATACATTTGCTCATTTGCTCTTAGGATAACTCTATACATTCTATTACTATTCCCATTTCGGAGGTGAGAAAATTAAAGCACAACAAATCTTAACTAGAACCCAGATCCATTCCTGTCAGGGAGAACCCAGCGCCTTCACGTGCACACTATGTCTGACCTCCCTGTGTCTTTATAGTAGATAATTCAGTAAAGACTGGGTTTTTAAAGAATTATCAGTTCATCAGCCTTTCCTACAGATGTGTTATGAGAGCAAAGTTCTGATCAATGGGATCTGCTCTCTCCGAATGTCAGTTACAAAAATCTTTGAGCTTGTCTACTTTTTTCCTGACTTTCTTGACAGTTTGACCCATCCCATCACCCTGTCCAGGCTGTAGAAGGAGTTTCAGAAAGACAGAGGCTCCGACTCATGATGGCCTCACTTTCAACGTGGCCCCGTTCAGCCAAACTACTGTCACCAGTATGCAAGCTTCCTGGTAATCCTCACACTGAATTTTTATGATGCAGGAATGCAAGATTAACGTCAATCTTGTTCTGGAGCCAGGGGAGTGGAACCAATGACCCCTGCGGCCCTTTCAATCTCCAGAGTCCAGCTGATCAGAGTCACTTGTGGTTTTAAAAGTTACCTTTTTGTTCCTAGCTAGATCTAAGAAATAGCATGGTAACATAGAGCAGTCCCACTTTAAGTCTTTTCTATACTCCCACACACTCCTTCAAAGCTCAGTTCAAAAAAATGACTCTTCCTCCAGGAAGCCTTCCTTGATTACCTGTCTAGAACTGAACTTCTCTTGTTTGAATCTCAGCCCTTAGCTTCTCTGTACTATTCCCTCCCAGTTCCTCTATTTTGCTTTCCCTGGTCTTGCCTCATTCTCAACTACAAACAGGACCCAGATTGTACACACGCTTGGGCCCTATCCCTAGCCCCTTGCAAGCAGATGTTGTTCTAACAGTGATTGATATGTTTCATGAATCCCATGTTTCAAGAACCCAAACTGACCAGGCTTAGCTCAGGGGTGGTTTTCTCCATATAAAGGGAACTCTGAGTCACAAATCCTGTCCCTGTCTTTTACTCCACTCCTTTACCTCCTTTTACCCCTTCTTGAGTAACAACATTAACAACCATGGACTTGGCCCTAGTGTTACATACTTTTCTTACAGTGCCTCACTTAACTGCCCACTCAACTCTATGAACTCAGGTTTTTCTGCTTCTCTTTCACAGAAGAAGAAACCTGTTGGAGAGCCTGCATAAGCTGCCCAAGGCTGCTAGACCGGAAGCCAGGTCTGATTTCAAAACCCCAGTCCTTAGCTTCCTGAGGAGACTGTGTCTAGCCCTGGAGGCAGCCATCGCCACCACCTGAGGTTCCGGTGGCATGGTTGCACCTCTCCAGAGTGACCCAGGAGCACATTCCCTTCCCCCAGGGGGCATCTCCTGCTCTCTGAAGACACTTCCCAGAGTGCCTTAGACTTTCTGTCTAAATGACCTGAACCTCTTGCTGCTCCCTTGTAGGTGGATGTTGGTCTGGGAGCAACGCTTTCCTTGCCCTCCTCTCCCCCAATTTTGGGCATCAATCATTTTACTTGTAGCTCTTGGCTCAGAACTGAACTCCACCAAGTCCTCCCAGAAATTCCACTATAGACAGACAGGGCGGTGCACGTGTTTCTAGCGGTTCCCTTGGGGCTGTGGTGAGGGAGCACGGGCTGACGGTTCTTCACCTGTGCTCCCCGAGGAGCTTCTCCTGCTACTTCTGCGTCTGTAGGGTAAGGAAAAATGTCAGGCTTTTCTGCCCTCCTGCCATCGTGATAGATGATGGATCCTTGCGGTCCTGAATGCATGCCTGATGGCCGGTACCTGGGGTAGGGTGTGGGCATGGGTAGATGGGATTCACCTGGGCTGAGACTGGACTTTTAAGGTCGGTGTCACGGGGACGCCAGCAGAAGCCAAGAAGCCGAGAACGGACAGAAGCCGAGAGAGAAGCAGAGAAGGCGGGAGAGCCCAGATAGAGTGAAGACTTGCTGGGGGCTGGGAGGCCTGCCAGCCTCCAGGCCCCCCAGCACACTTGCCTGCCGTGTACCTGGTAATCCCAATAAAAGACCTGCAAAAAGCCACTGAGGACTCTGACTCCTCCTTTATCCGGTCTGCTGGATCCTAGAAAACCTGCACTGTGTCTTCCTGACCTTTACAGCTTCTGACTCCAACCCCAGCACCGGCCCCACCTCCAGCCTGGAGCCCGCACAGAAGGGCAGGCCGGCCAGGCTGCCGGGGAACTTGCGCAGTCCCTAGAACATCACAGCTGGAGGCGCCGCGAGTGGCGAGCGCGTCCGGGTACCCGGTGTGTGTGTGGTGGGGGGCGGGGGTGCGGGTCTCCTGCCCCAGCACGAGAGACCAGGGCTGGCCTCTAGCTCCTGGCCGGCACCAGGCCAGCCCGAGGTTCCCGCTGCGCCCCGACACCTGGAGTGTATTAGGCGGCGGCGCGCGTCTCGGCTGCAGCGGTTTCCCCTGGATTAGTGAATAATTACATAATTCGGGGCACGGGGCGGGGGCTATGCCCAGTCTCCACCCAGTGTCAGGTAGCGCTTGCCGGGGCCCCGGACGGCGGACCCGCGCTCTGGCCGGGCTACCCCTGGCCCCCCCCCAGAGGCAGACCGTGCAGGGGCTTAGCCACGTCTCTGGCCAGAGGGACTCTGGGTGGCTTTTGGCTCCCACATCTCCCCCAGTCTTCCGAGGCCGCCGCGCGGCTCCCCAGTCTTTGGGATGTTTCCTCCGCTCCAGGCTCGAGCGCAGCCCAGGCAGCGCTCGCGCCCTCTCCCCTTCCCTTGCCCAGGAACTGGCCCTCCTCGCTCCCCGGACGCTCGAGTGTCTCTTGCGGCGGCGCGTGAACCCCAACGTGGCCCTTGGAGGTCCCCAGCGCGTCCCGCGGGGCCAGTAGCCCTCCGGCGCTTTGCAATCTGAGCTCCTTCAACTCTTCCCAAACACACCAAACTCTGCCGAAGTCGCCTCCGCGCGCCTCCCTCTTTGACAAAACTTGCGGGGGCCGCTAGATTGCCAGGAGTTCCCGCGGGACCCCGCGCCCCAGATCCACCCGGGTCCGACGGGAGAGGCGCGCCGCGTCCCCTTCCCGGCAGCGGGGGGCGGGGCCCCGGCCGGCCAGAGGGTCTCCCCGAGACCTGGGGGAGGTAAGGGGGGCTCGTACCTGTCCACAGGCTGAGTGCCCAGGCCACCAGGAGCCCCCTGGGCAGGTCCATGGCCCGCGGAGGGGCGGCGGGTGCCGGGCGCGGGGCGGCGGGCCAGAGCGGCAGCCTCGTCGGCGGGGCGCCCGGAGCCTGCACTGCGCGCGGCCGGCTCCCTGACAGCCGCGGCGCGTTCAGAGGAAGTGGGAGGGCGGGAGCCGCGGGGAGGGGCGCGCGGACACCGCTCCACCGCTCGGCGCTGGCGCCCGGCCAGGCGCGGCCCCTCCGCCACCTGGGCAGGCCGAGCGCTGCGCCTCGAGCCCGTCTCCAGACCGCTCCTCCCCCTCCCGCTTCTGCCACCCAGAAAACCCTGGAGAACCCCTCCTGGGAACCACTTCGCCCATGTAACCCCTCCCTCCACATCACCACCACCAAATTCAGTCTGTTCCGGAAAAGGGGTGTATATTCCCATTTCCCAGAGAACAGAGCTTCACAAGGCTCAGGGGGGCACCTAAGGCGATCCAGGAAGACCCGCCACGACTCAGGTCTCACTTGACCAAGGGAAGTGGATGTTCCTCAAAAGTCCTGGTCCATTCTGAAACATGCCCCACCCCCAGCCTCCCCAGGCCCTGAGGGGGTTCAGTGCTGCTTCTGACCTTCCAACAAAGGCAGACCCCCGCCCCCAACCCCAGCCCCAACATCCACATCTGCAGGGTTGAAAGCATCTAAAGCACCCAGGAGGACTCTGTGCCCACTTTATCACACGAGGGAAGCTTCTCCTTGGAACCCAGCCGTCCCTCCCTGCGCTTCTAACCACTCACAACGAAATTCAATGCACGTTTGTTGCAGGAGCTTTAAATCAGCCCCAGGACCACAACCTGTGCAGCGAAGAGACTGAGGCAGAGGCTGGGAAGTGAGTATGGTGGAAGGTAGTGCCGAGGCTCCGCATCACCTTCTCAGAAACCCTTCTCTCCCCTCCCGTGTGCGCACCAGGTCAGGCCCCCAGATATAAGCTCACTCCTCTCTCTCTCTCTCTCATTGTTTCTTCATTATGCTTAATAGAGAAACTAGATGTCAACTGGTGTAATCATTTGCTTAACTTTTCTCTCCTTGTCCTGACTGAAACAACATCAGGGTGGAAATCTTGTTTGGTTTACAACTGAGCACTTAAGCTCCAGCACCCAGTAGGTGGTTGGTTGGATGGGTGAGTGCATGGGTGGATGGGTGAATAGGTGGGTTGGGAGGGTGAGGGGGAGTGGATGGAATAAATGATGGATGAGTGGATGACGGGTGGGTGCATGTGGGAGCGGGTGGATGAGTGGAGGGATGAATGGATGGGTAGGTGAATGGGTGGGTGGGCATGAGGTGGTATATGGAGAGTGCAGTTTTCTGTCTGGAAGGGATTGGAAGTGCTTCCTAGAGGAGGTGACATTCAGGCTGGGTCCCTGTGGATAAGATGGGTTTGGAGAAGGTCCAGGTTCAGACAAGTGGGCATCAAGCATACCTCCCGGACATAGAAGTTTCTTGGTAGCCACCCTGGTTTTTATTTCAGTATCCTCATCGCTCCCACTCAGTCACAGAATTTGGGAAAAGCAGATTCCGTGTCAGGGGAGGGTGTGTGTATGTGTGTTGGGGGGGAATCTCTCCTCCCCCTGTGGTTTAGACTGAAATGAATTAATGTATTGCCATCCCCTGGTCATAGGTTTTTGTTGTTGTTTTTTTAAATATCCAAAAGGACAGGGTTATTAGGAAAAAGAGAAAGGAAAAGAGAGGCACCTACATGGTCACAGCAGATAGGCGAGCTGCCCCTGGTCATGGGTCTAAGAAAGAGTGATGTACAAAGGAAGTTTTTCTGGGAAACTCATCTTTTTGTTCTTTTAAAGAGTTTCTGGAATGAAGGGACACACTAATTCGCTGTGTCCCCCCAACCCTCATCCCTACCCCAAGTTTCCTCCCAGACATAGTCATCATGCAGGCCAGGAAGTGGAAAAGGGGCAGGGTAGGGAAGGGAAAAAGGACGTCTGGCCTTAAGGTGAGGCAGACACTGATGACAGAATGGACGAAATAAGTCCAGGAAGGTCTTGTTAGTCCCTGAATCAAACCACTCCTAAATCTACTCCCCTCAGGACTTTATGTGACCAGTCAGTCCCCTTTGTTGTCTGTATTGTCTAAGTGGGGATTCTGAACCTAGAGGAGCCTAACGTAACAGTCTAGGGGTTGCAAATCCCATCTCTGTGTTCTCCAACTCCAGGTGCATGGGAGCTACTTGGAGCAAGTGGGCAGAATGCAAGTTTCCCGAAGCCTGGGGAGTTCAGGTGGCACCGCAGGCGCTCTGAAGTGGAAGTGGGCAAGGCTGCGCTCGGAGATGGCACGCTGCTTGCTGAAGAGGCTCTGCAGTGGCTGTGCTGCTGCTGGTCTTCGAGAAACTGTTCTACCATTCATTCGCTAACCTATGTGGTCCTCATCAGGGGCTGGGCCCGTATCTGGTAATGTGGTGGGGAGGAGACACATGCCCTCACTAGTTCTTGTAACAAATTCCTCAGTGCCTTCCATGTCCCCAAGATCTGCAAGAGGGGCCTGTGACAAATGAGAAGACAGACATAACCTCATATTTATCTATGGGGATCCATTTTATTATTTAATTATTCATTAAATCATTTATTATTTAATGATTATTAAACATTTAAATCACATGGACAACAGTGTGTAGGTGACAAAGGCAGCCTAGATTCAGAAGAAGCTAAGAAGACTGGATGAAAGATGTTGTAAGTTGAGATTTGAGTTGAGCAATTAAAAAATGATCATCACCATCCTTTACATGTACATAGTGCATCTTGTATTGAGATGTAATTTACATACCATAAAATTACCATGCAATTCAGTGATTTTTGGCACACATACAAGATCATGCAACTGTTACCACTCAGCTTGGAACATTTTCATCACCCCAAAAAGAAACTGCAGTGATCAGCAACCACTCCCTATTCCCTCACTGAAGGTCCTGGCAACCACTAATCTACTTTCTGTCTCTATGGATTTGTCTATTCTGGACATTTCATGTCCATGGAATCATACAATATGTGGTCTTTTTGTCTGGCTTCTTTCACTCAGCAAATTGTTTGTACAGTTCATCTTGATTTAGTAGTTCTTCATTCCTTTTTATTGCCAAATAACATTCCATCGTGTAGATATACCACATTTTGTTTATCCAGTCATCAGGTGATGGATACTTGGTTCCCACTTTTGAGCTCTTATGTACATTTAGCTATTATGAACATGTATGTAAAAATCATGTATGAACATATATTCTCAAGTATCTTAGGTATATACCTAGGAGTGAAATTTCTAGGTCATATGACAACTCTGTTGAATCATTTGAGGAACTACGAAACTGTTTCCACAGAGGCTATACCATTTTACATTCCCGCTAGCAACGTATGAGAGTTGTACATGGTGTTTTACTAATTTTGAAATCTCTTTCATATCTATGATCTCACCTAATGCTCACAGGAGTCCTTCAAGGAATTCCTATCCTTTTTTATACATTAAGAGGTTGTACTAGTGAGAATTCTTTCTGTTGCAAGAGACAGAAACTCAACACAAACTGAAGGAAGCAGAAAAAAAGATGTATAGATCATGTAACTAGAAATGCAAATGTGATTGCTTCAGGTATGGCTTGATCAAGACTCTCAAATGAATGTTACTTCTTTCTTTCTGTCTTCTCTTAATTTTACTTCACTCTGTTCTCCTTTCTGCAGCTGACAGGATTTTCCTGCTGCTAGAAAGATGTGGCTGGATGTCCCAAGCTTGAACTTTGTAGATTCTATAGGGAGGGAAACAGCCTTTCCTCCTAGATCCAGGAGCAAAGTCTTAGGTTTTGGTCCATGGCCATCCTGAACAAATAGTGTCTGGAGAATATGATCCTATAATTGACCTAGTCTCAGGCATACACCCATCACCAAGGAGTTGGAAAGAGAGGGGAATTATAACTGACAGCCCCACCAAGACCACATATTATAGGAGAGGAGTTTCCTAAAGGAAGTAGAAAAGAGGGATAGCAAACTAGACTGGACAAACAAAAATCCAGAGTCACTAAGTCCACTTTAGAAATCTAAACTCAAAGCAATAAGAGGTGGCCCAAGACCCCACAGCATCTATGTGGCATGCACAAATGGCCTGAGAGGGCTTTCCTTGGTTTTGATTTGTCATGCCAGGGCTCATTTCTGCTGACGGTGTGGAAGAGATTAGCTTTGAACAACTGTTTACACGAAGAGCCTGTGTTTGCTCCAGCCATTCCGGACTTGAAGTAGAAAGTCCAGTCCAAAATTCTGGGGGCATGTGAATGTTGCCTTCTTCTGAAAGCTGCGCCTCAGCCCTGGTCACCGTCCCATTGCCAGGGACAGCACCTGGGATTTCTGCTGGGATCCAGCCCTGCGTACAACCTGTCCCGGATGTAGGAAGTTATTTTCTGATCTCCACTTCTCCAACCGCAAGTATATACAGCATTTGCAGTAAAGATAGCAAAGAGAAAGTATGCCCGTGGTACAAACATACATGCAGGTTGGATAAGAAAACATCCCTTTGAAGCAAAAGTATTTCAAAGGTTTAGAAGAATAAAATTGCCTTTAAAGTCTAGCAGTGAACATCTTAGTTAAGAGGTCATTTCTGATGAAGCTTAGATGAGCTAAACCCTTGACATGAGACCAAATTGCAAGAACCATGTCAGAAACAACCACCACTGTGATAACCATATGAAAAACAACTACCTCCAAGTGGGTCCTTCATGTAGTTGAATGTGACTTGTGCAGCATTTCTTTTAGTTACCAGCATAGCATTTGTGGGAATCCAGGACTTTCTTCCTGGTCCTGGCTGGGCAGAGATGTTGGGGAGAGACCAGAAGGGTTCGGGATCTGGCTGGAGAGCAAAGAGAAAGATGGACATCTAGAGGAAGGGAGTGCTGGGGAATTAGTGAAGCAGTCCTCATTCAATGAGAGATAGGAGCCAGTGGACAAATGCCCCAGCTTCCACACCCCTAGGTATAAGCTGAACTTTTGTGTCCCCCCCATCTCAAAAATTCATGTGTTGAATCCTAACCTCTTAGGGGATAGTATTAAGAAGTGGGGACTTTGGAGGTAATTTGTGTCCTTATAAAAGAG